CGTGAAGAAACACAGCTCGTCACCACCACTGCCGAGAGACCGTGAGGAGACCAACTTGTCCTTGCACCGCTCTTCGCAGAGCTGGAGCTGCCGCGCGACAAGCTCCAGGGAGGCCAGGTTCGACCCGTCGAGCTGATCGCATGACTGGGCAACCTGCATGATCTTGGAGAACTCGCGATGCGCGGAGACAATGGGATCGCCAACAGGAACACTGGATCCCAAAGCAGCCTTCCAGGCGAGATGATGTCCCATCGGCGAGCCACCGTTCTCGACCTGGCACGTCGCGACCCAGCGGTACGTGGACGGGCCTGGCGCAGGCCAATCAGGGAAACTCGTCGGTCGCACGAGCTGCGCGCTGCCCCTGAACTCGCGGCGCCGCTGGCCCTGCACGTCGTAAGCCGCGGGGAGCGCCCGCGGGCCCCCCGGCCCCAGGGCGGCGGCGCCGTCGGGAGACGCGGGGGCTGCAGCAGCGACGACCTCACCGCTCGGCGTCGGCAAGCGCGGCCGGACACCGACGCGGGAGCGCCAGGGGCCGCGCGCACCGCGCCGTCGCGCAAACCCGCGCGGCGCACGACCTCCGCGCCGCGGACCGCCGCGCGAGGGAGCTCGCGGCGGCCGCGCCTGAGCTGGACGGGCGCGGCGCGCTTCGGCCCGCGGGTTTCGCGCGCCGCGGCCTCCGCCAGCCGGCCATCACACCTCGGCGACGCCGGCGGCGCGGGCGGCGCGCGAGACGGCGACGGCGCGCGCGCCCCCCCGGCGCAGCGGGGCGGGAGCCGAGCTGCCAGCGACAGCGGACCGCGCCGCGCAGATCGCGCTCAGCTCGACGCGCGCGCGAGCCGCGGCCTGCGCGAGGTCCGCGGAGCTCGCCGGGGCTAGCGCGGAGCTCGCAGGAGGCAGACTGCAGACGACGGCCCAAGGATCGGGCAAGGCCCGGCGGCGCCCCCCAATTGTGAGCCTCGGCCCGGGCCGGGGCGCGCGCGGCGGGGCCGCCGGCGCCGCGGGCGGCGTCCGCGGGCTGCGCCCCCGCTGCGCAGGTCTGCGCCAGCATGGCCTCGGCGTCGCACAGCGGGCGCCGGTGGGTCGCCCGCGCCTCTGCGGACTACTCTGCGGCCCCACTCCCGACGGGGGCCTCGTCTGGATGGCGGGGCACCGAGGCCCGACTGAAGCCGGCTGGCCCGAAGCGCGCCCCGCGGCGCGCCCAGCACATCGGCGACCGTCGGCAGGCGCGCGGCGCTCGCGAACCGACGGCGCGCCGCGAAGCGGCGCCCTCCAGGCGAAGATGACGAACCGCGCTGGCTCGGGCGAGCGCCCGCGGTCAAAGGCGGCGGGCGCTCGCAGGGGCCCGCAGGTCGGGGGGGCCGGGCGAGGGCGCGAAGGGGGGTCAAGAGCAGCCCCCGCCCGCGCGCCCCCGCCGGGGCCGTCGCTCGACGGGCCGCGCCGGCCGAACAGAGCGCCGCGCGGCCCGCGCGGCGGCGGGGCGGCAGAGGCCGCCGCGGAATCAAGGGCCGGCGGGGGGCACAGAGCCGTCGCAGTCACACTGCGCAGGGGCGCTGCAAATCGGACATCAGAAGTTCGGGTTGCAGAGGCCGCGAATATCCAAGCATCCGCGACAGGGAGGTTTCTTGCACTGCCCCGACAGACCAAGGCACCGAGACTCAAGAACCGCGGCGCATCGCGGCGCGAAGTGCGCGCCCGGCATCGACGCGCATACTGAATGCACTCGACCGACCAGATGGTCGGATAAGTCGGACGCTTGCGAACGCGGCCAAAGAATTGGGGCCCCGGGCCTGCCTCTCTCGGCGCCCCTCTCGCGGGGGCAGCGGGCCCGCGGGCAAGGCGCCTATGACATCGCGATCGACGGTCGACGGCCAGCCCGGGCAGGAAGCGGGGGGAACCTACCTGGGCGCATAGCTGCCGGCCCCCCCCCGGAACGGCCACGGGCCCGCCCTCGGGGGCGCCGTCGGATCTCATCCGCGTGCCGAGCGGTGAAATTATAGAGAGGCGAACGGCGTCGCGCCTGTGCTCGCCGGGTGCCCTGACAGGGCCGCCCGCTGGCAGATCCTCCACGATCTACCACAGGCCCCGCCCCAACGAATCACCACGCGGAATCGCAGCTGCATCGCCACTGGCGACGGGGGCCTCTGCGGGAAGCCGATAGTCGCCCAACGGAACAGGGGGTCTGACGCCATCGGCCTCGTCGCCGCCTCCCCGCGACCAGCGAGCGCCACTGCAGGCAGTCGGTCTCGGCGTCGACATGCGGGAGACGTCCTCTTCTAACGAAAATCACTCCACGCATCGCTCACCGCCCGAAAATGAATTGAAACTTCAGGTCGACCAGCGATTGGCAACGGCATCTGCTCGCCGCCCTCGCACCAGTCGAACTCCTTGTCGCCCTTGGCCTCCGGAGTGTCGTCCGGGCGACGCTTGTCGTCTTAGGACGTGCTTCAGCTGATATAAAGGCGCAGACGTCGGCTTGGTTCTCCGACATCGTCGGTTGCATCTGCTCCAGGATCGCTCACGCCTAAGCCGTGGTTTTGGTCTGTTTCCTTCGCGCATCATCCAGCGAAGGTAAAAACATAAGATCCTTCTCCAGTGACACCACTATCATCTATCATAGACCATTCGGCTGATCACTAGTGTTTTGCCAGTTCTCCGTCAGGAGGGGAGCTTTCGCAGCCCGGTGAAACGGCAGAGCGTGTGCTTGTTGTTCATAATGATCTTCCTCTTGTAAAAGTGTCATGCATCGGTGACGTACTTCTTGTAATCATGGCGCGATGTGAAATTGTGCCGTTAAGCTATGGCTGGAATCAAGTACTGGGGGAGGGGGCCGGCTGGCCGGCGGGCGCGCGGGCGGGCGGGCGCTCCCTGTTCGATGACCACAGCCAAAGCAACTGCGGTAGAAGTATGCGAATGTCGTTGAGGCATGGCAAGGGTGTGACTAAATCAACTTGAGTCATCGGATTTGACCCAGAAGAAACTATGGAGAGGGGAAACATGGAGAGTTCAAATACATTACTAGCCATTCGAAACTCAGCTATGCAGAAATATGGATGTACAGATATGAACCTATGTATGTATGTACGTATGAATGTACGTATGTATGTACGTATGTATACTACCACCCCACCCGAGCGAGAGGGAGCTTGC